TTTTGGCCACCATTTTGGCTATTTGTTACTTCTTTAGTAATAATTATATCTGAGTTACTGAACTGTAGCTAGAACATGACTTTTTTATAAAACAACAACTGAGGAAACCTGTCTCATTTGGTGGCACATTACATAAGCGTGCAGTCAGATTAACAGCAAAGCAAACTTCATCTGGCATTTCTTGTTCTAAGCTACCAGATACAAGACATAATTAGAGTCAGATTTGATGTTACCATGTCCTTCGTGAGTTTTCAGAGGGAGCTCATTCCCATTAATTTACACATATGTTAAGAGATACTTCATCCCAGATCCAGTATCCATGTCCTGAGCAGTGAAACACTCAGAGAGAGGACACGACTTTAAGGTAGTAGAACCTACAGTCTGTGATTGTGAACCAATAAGAAGCCTATGGAAGGCTTCCATAGACTTCCTGAATGAGAAGTGATGATCTTTGGTGGCTCCTGGCTGTCTCTCTTCTCAGCTGGTGTTGCGCGGCCAGGGTGCTGGGGCATCCGGACTCACCACCACCACCGGTGATCTAGCATGGGATAGGGGACAGTTGTAATCCCATGAGCATGGGTGCCATTAAGAAGATGGTGGAGAAACAACTACCTGGAATTTATGTCTTATCTTTAGAGATTGGGAAGAACATGATGGAGGATGTGGAGAACAGCTTCTTCTTAAATGTAAATTCCCAAGTAAGGATAGTGTGTGAAATTCTTGCTAAGGATCCTAAGCTGCAGCAAGGCTACAATGCTATAGGATTCTTCCAGGGAGGCCAGTTTCTGAGGGCAGTGGCTCAGAGATGCCCGACGCCTTCCATGATGAATCTGATCTCAGTTGGGGGACAACAGCAAGGTGTCTTTGGACTCCCTCGATGCCCAGGAGAGAGCTCTCATATCTGTGACTTCATCAGGAAAATGCTCAGTACTGGCACTTACTCCAAAGTTGTTCAAGAATGCCTGGTGCAAGCAGAATACTGGCATGACCCCATAAAGGAGGACGTGTACTGCAACCACAGTGTCTTCTTGGCAGACATAAACCAAGAGAGAAGTGAGTGTCAATGAATCCTACAAGAAAAACCTGATGGCCCTCAAGAAGTTTGGGATGGTGAAATTCCTCAACGATTCCATTGTGGACCCTGTAGTGTATGAGTGGTTTGGATTTTATAGAAGCGGCCAGGCCAAAAAACTATTCCCCTCCAGGTGACCACTCTATACACAGAGGACCGCCTGGGACTAAAGGAAATGGACAAAGCAGGGAAGCTAGTGTTTTTGGCTACAGAAGGGGACCATCTTCAGCTGAATGAAGAATGGTTTTATGCCCATATCATACCCTTTCTTAAGTGAAGCCCTTGTAGTTTCTAAGTGCTCAGGAGACCCTAGATCTTCAAACTATATGGACAGTTCACAGCCAATCCTGAACACTGATCCAGCTTGCAACCAGTCTTTCTCTCCTGTTACCATCTAACACGCCCTACTTGGAAAGATCTAAGATCTGAATCTTGTCCTTTGCTGCCTCCTATCAGCACATGGTGTTGAATTCAAGTCTAATTAGCTGATAACCAAAGAAATTGTTTTACAACCTTGTGATATGGTCAAGCTCTGTC